GAATCTCCACTCCGAATCCTCTCCCAAATCGCTATCTATCCTCCCATAAATGATCTCCAGAGACTCACAATCACACTAACAAACTATTAGGATCAAAAACTTGAAGAAATCAATAATGATTCTTCTTTTCTTACAAATCCTCTCTCAAACTCTCTGGAAATTTTCTGGACCTTTCTGAAAAATGAAAAGACGACCAAAACGCGTCCCAGCCCCTTTTATACCGAAGCCCTAGGACTTTTCTAAACCGACACGCCAAACCAAGCGACCAAGGACCGAACCTGTTGGTTCGATTTCAACTTGCGTCGATCGACGCACAACACTTGTGTCGATCGACGCAACACCCAGAACCCGACTCTTCACGAGTCCAAACACGTGTGTCGATCGATACACACGGTGTCGATCAACGCACCAACCAAAAATAAAAATTTTGGTTCACGGACGTTACAGTAGTTGTGAGTCTTGTGACTTATGAAATTACATTAATTCAGACGTACATTTGATCTTAGTGGTTGTGAGTCTTGTCACTTATGAAATTACATTCATACATACGAAATGTCATTCACATATAGTCATAATTAAAAAACTTATCTCGACTAAATGTTTTATAAGAAAAATAATATGTTTACACTTTAATTTTTAACTAATATTATTTACAACTAAACATATCATACCAAGTTTTTTTTTCATAAATTGTTATTGTACTGATGTAAAACTTGAAAAATGTTACAAAAAAACATGATCAAAGCATAGAAAACAAAAGAAACAAACTTATCAAGTCCTTTGTCCCTTAAGTAATAATAGCTAACCAGCCAAATGAAAATATTCCAAATCTTTGTATTATTTCTTCAAATTTCTCTTTTCTCCAATCAATAATCATATCTTATCCTTCTTCACCGGAACTCTACCGTCGGTACCAGCGAGCATTGCGTACTTATCCTTTCTTGTGAAATTGGTGCACTCAAACCCTAAAGTTCCTCCCAAAACTCTCTGTATGTAATTAGCCACTTCTATCGGCGATTTACCTCCTTTACACGTCAGCTCGGCCGGAAGCTGTTTAAGGAACGTGATCTCGAACGTTGGCATCGGATTCATGAACGCAAAGTAAGGATCAAGAAGCTTGTAGCCACGTGTAGTGGTACCATGAAACACGCTCTGTTTCGTGTTGATCGCCACGGGAACGATCCGGTCCGTGAGCTCGGCGAAGAGTGCGCTAAACCGGAGAAGGAAAGGCTCACGACATGTGGTTCCTTCAGGACAGATCACTAGATCGCCTTCCTCTAAGAGACGCTTGATGTTTGCTGCGTCTTTCTCGCGTTGACGAGTCAACGCAACGGCTTTGATAGGAGATATTAGCTCAGAAAATTTGCTGATGCTGTAAGTGACGCAGCTAATTTTCCGGCCAAGCGCAACAGCTGTCACCACCGGATCGAGAACGGTCCGGTGGTTACAGACCAAGAGGTGGCCTGGTTGGCCCGGTTTAGGAGGCGGAGGAGGGTGGCCATTGACAATTAGTTTGATTCCTGTGAGCTTGTAGTTGTAACGGGCGATGCGTTCCGGTAACGGAATATTCGTGTAGACTCGGATGAGAGAGAGAAGGAAACCAACGGGAAGCCAGAGGAGAGTTAACATAGCAACTAACGGCGTTGGACGTTGGACTAATCTGCCCTCGTGGAATATTATGGGGCGTAAGAGTTTGTTTCTTGCTAATGGCTCGCATTTTGTACGTGGTACCATGTAACCCTCCTGCGGTCAGTAATCACAAATTGTTATATTAAATGAAGCACAAAAGTGGTTGTAATTTGTACGTAATTTTTTGGTAGCATGCATTTGACATTTTTTTTTCTAACTATATAAGAGTGGTCACCAAAGGCGTCATGAGAGATTCATGTGTATGATCAAATTTATTAATGGTTAGAAAAACATTTATCTAAGATGACATATTTATATATTAACTAATTAGATTGGATAAATGATTAGAAGTTTACGAAATGAAAGGAGAGTGAAAAATAATAAAACAAAAGATGATCATGGCTTTTGCATGAGGACAAAAAAACGGTAGATCGTGTATGAAGAACCTAAGTTATTTATTTATTACAGTTTTCCAAATTCATGAAAGGTTCCAATAAAAGTTTTTTTCAAAAAATAAATAAATTGTAGTATCAGCAACAGAAAGTAGAAGTAGAAGTAAATAAAAAGGGACAAAATTTGATTGGCCAAATTTAATAGGAAGGATAGTAAACACCATAGGACAACACAATAAGTATTATACCGAAAAAGTTGCAGGTACGTACAAGTTATATACTCATAACGTCGTGAATATTATTTAATGAGTTAGATAGTAAAAAAAAGTAAGGAAATTGGCATATGTAAAAATAAATGAGAGAAAAAAATGATGGAAATAACCTTGCATATGGACATGAAATCGAGGTCTGTCTTGCTATCTCCGAGCCCCAAGTCAGGTAAATCAGTCACAACGCCACCGAACTCCCTCAAAACAGCGTCGCGTTTGTGTTGACCAACGAGAATACCGGGGTTTCTAGCGAACCCGGTAGCCCGACCGGATTTAGTGACCTCTAGCTCTGTTCCAAGAACTTTATCGGCTCCAAGGAACGTTTTTACGAACGGCTCGACCATGATTCGAGGACTCGCTGTAACTATGTACCGTTTCCCAAACGTGTTAAAGATACGCCAAGTGTCGGGCCTCACGTCCTCCGCGTAGAACCTCGGGAGGACGGAACGGACCACTAGCTCGACGTCTCGGATCTTGAGACCAGCGAAGGTGATGAAAACGAATACGTTGATGGCTAAAGTCTCGGAGACGGATAGGTACGTGAGGTACACGAATGGTACCGACGCGAGTAGGATCAACGCCCGGAGCAAGCTCCCTGCTTCGAGGGCTACAAGGAAAAAATAAGGAAAGGCGCTACGTGAGATCAGTAGTGTTCCGTCGAGATCGGCGGCCACGGTGTGGTTCGACCGGTCCTTATTAATGTCGCATTTTGATATCGGCTCGAAACGACGTCGCTTCTCTTGAGCTCCCATTAGTGAATAAGCCG